AACCTCCCAGAAGCAATGGATCAATGTTTGATACCTCTGACTCCTCTCTAACGGACTCACCCCAACTAGCAAATGCCATGGCGCAGGTTAGTGCGTGCTTGGGCTCACAACCCTCGTGGGGTTAGAGACCCCGCACTTGGTTCTTACACGCACCTCACACGAGAAAGATAACATGATTCTATGTGGTGTTTCTGCGGTTGGTACATGATTCCATGGGGTTCCTCTGCCCTTGGTCAGCATTCATGAGTTCTGTACACATTGGCGTTGAATCGTGATGGTATACTTCCGCCACACAGCTCTTGATGGTACGCTTCTCTTCGTACTTTTCTCGATTTTGATTTGGAGAAATTAGGCTTAGAGGGATCCCTGAGCTTCAACCTCCTCAACCTGAGCCTCCGCAGTGCCAACTCCGCCTGGCAGTCTGCATCCAATTACCTGAGGCCAGACACTATAACTATATGGGGATGTGAAGGTCATTCCTAGCCACTTGGCTGCGTGGAGTGTAGGGGCTTGGGTTCAGGGAGTTGTCATGCGAGTTGTCCAAGGACTGCCCACAGAGCAAACAAAGGCACTGAGCCAGTCCCAACTACGTGCTAGCTGCTAGAAAAGCTTTAGAAGCCTATTAAATCCAAACCCCAAATCCGAAGCCACGATCTCAGAAAGCCCTGAAGCCTCAGCCCTGAGCCCCATAGTACTGTCAGTTTTTTTGCTTGCGTACTTTCTCATAAAATAGTTCACTGCAATCTTCAAGAGCCTTAAAACCCTAAACCTCATCAGATCCATAACCCCAAATCCAACACCAGAGAAAACAAAACATACATATGCCATTTTGGATGTGCGTACTCAGCTGAAATTTTCTTTTGGCTTCGGCCATGGCCTTGCTCGCCAGAGTATTCGGACTGTTTTTCGGTGGAACGGAAAGGCCACACACAAGTAGCAAAAACACCCATAACCCAAAACCCTGAGCTCAGCACCCGCCCCCTAGGCACCGAAACCACAATCTTCCTCCTTCCCGGGTTGCCTGCGCTGCTGGACAGCTGCACCCCATGAAGCGATGATTGCATGCCCGTTTCATCTGGGATTGGAGTTCAATACGTCAAATACTTGATTTGGACTGCTCAGCTAGCCGTGTTATTTTTCGGGCGCGACCACCATGCGTTCTTTGTTGCCAATGTTCTGCAGCACGTTGCCATGTGCTCAAGTTTTGATTTTCCACCTCGTTCGAGCTCGTCCCGGTGCCGCCAGAAGCCTGGACCGTGTTTGGATTAATTTTGTCGGGGCAAACCACCACGCAGCTGGATGGGCTGCTTCCATAGCAAGGCAGCGCAGCCAGCGCAGCCAGATGCCAAGGAAGCAATGCAAGCATGGTTGCGCAAAGGGTTGAATTGATTTGAGGCAGGAAGTTCCAAGCTAGTCTGATTTCCACATCAGCAGGGACAATCACGGGCACAGTCGATCTTGATGTGCTTCAAGTCTCTGAACACATGTTTTATCCAAAATATGCTGCACCTCCATGCTGTGTCATACTGCCTTTTTTCAGGACTTGCCACGATTGTTGGATAGCCTGGCTGAGAAGCACGGTGCCAGCAAAGGAGGCAGGCAGATGTCACAAGCGATAGGGTTCAACAGCGCGACCTTTGAGTGCTGCCTGAAATGCGGACTCGATGGGCGGAGATTCAGCTAGGACGCATTCTGCTTTCATGTATGGTTATGTTGCATGTGCTCGAGACCCTGAGCAGAATGCTATGGGGAATCACCCTCTGTTGTGGTCTTTGCATCCCGAAGGAAACACCGTTCAAGATGCTGCGGCCAGCAGTGCTTGGCGGCCAGCCACTAGCCAAGGCAGGGTAGTCTGGGTGCACTTCAAACATGAGACGTTCTTCCTGCCCAAAAAGGCTGTAATGAAGTTCTTGCTGGTTTGTACGATGCTGGATGGACTTGTTTCTCAACGTTATGAGTGCGCCGGATCTGCGCGTTGAAAGCATCACTTCTGTTGACTTCATATTGTGCTCCAGAGACTGCGCAAATTTGAAACTGGCATGTTGCTGTCCAAGCTAGTGTCTTGACTGAAAAGACACGTTGTGCAGAAGTTGAAAGCCGCCCAGAGCCGAGATCTTCCCAGTCTGCCACCTGGACGCAGGAGAGAAGTCACCAGACGTGTCAGAATTGTGTACTTGGAGTTGGCCGGCTTGAATAAGAGTGGACAGCATTGAGAGTAAGATGCTGCAAGGTCAGAAAGGGTGCTAGTAAACCCCCCAGCTGAAAGCTGCTCTGACTTGACACATGATGTGGCGTCGAGGAGCAGAGACAGCCCACAGTGGAGGTGGAAGATACTGGGGTGACGAGCTCCTCGTGGTTCTGCTGCATGGCGCAAAGGGCCTGGGAATCGGAGCTGCTGCAGGCACGGCAATGTTACAAGTGGAGTCCAGTGGATGTCCAGGTGTTGAGATTTCTGGTTCGTGTCTGATTCATGTCTAGTGTCAGCTTCGTTCTTGTTCCAGATTTGGCGATTGAATGACTTCTGGCTTCGATAGAGTCTGAAGCTCCTAGGTGGCCTCCGACTTGAAATGCAAGCTAAGCGACCCGCACTTTGTGGCCATGCGCTGCGATCTGGACAGCTCGGGCGATTCGGATGCCCACGAGTTGAAGTCACTTGGGTCGACTTTTTTGTGGTTGGGTTGATTTATCAAACCATCTTTCCCAAAACAGCACTCACCGGAGCAATGCTACTTTATTTGTTGATCCCCACTGAAGCTGCTCAACTGCGTATGGTTTGATGAATGTGGCGTTGCATGTTTATGGGGCTTGTCACGAGCTATGACTGATGTCATGTTGATCGGTTCAGATTCTGAGGCAGGCGGCCAGGGTTTTTGGCATGCGACCGTCCGAAGAAGAACTGCAAGATCTCATGGCAGGGCATCAGCGAATCACCAAGGCCAGTCTGAAGCCTAAAATCACGTCAAAGCAGCGAAGCTGTCAGGTGATCACACGGGTCCTCCACACCTTTGGACAATCAAGCTACCCTGAAAACACGTCCAGTTTGCTTGTATTTTCTCGCGTTAGGAAGTCTTGAAACTCAACCTGGGAGACCTTGGAAGACGGAAGGCATTCGGACGGAGCTCTCAAGACACCAAATCTTCGTTGATATATATTTATATACGTAACGCTTGGACCTCGATTTTTTTGATTTGCGGGTGTATATTGGTTCGCAAAGGACCCCTTACACGGGCAGGAGCACTTTGCGAAGATCATCCTTGACTTCCAGCAACGACCGGAATCAGCACATTCACAGCGAAACTTGACGTTTGCCCGGCATGCCTGTTTGACTTAACTGCAATGTTTGACTTCACGGTTGGCATTTTCTTCAGAGGCAAGCTTTGAATGCTTCATGAAGATAGATTTCTTGGACATGGCCATCTATGCGTGTCTTCCTCCTTGAATTCATGGCCTGGGGCAACAAACAGTCTATCAATGCTACATGTATTCGGATCACTGCGTCTAGACTGGATGGTTAGGCTTTTGGGCATGCTGGCTGTCTTTCCAAACTGTTGAGGAAGATGTTTGCAGTGGGAATACGCGGGTGAGCAAGATTTGCTGCAGGATAAGAAGAGTCCTATGAAAAGCTCCGGAAACCAAGCCGATAAAGAAGCGAAGCAACCACCAGAACTCTTCTGCTTCGCCTTGTTTAGCTTGTGGGTTCAACCTGGAAGGAGTGGTCCCGCACTCCTTGCGGGGCATGGCCCTTGGCCAGCTGCAACATTTGGAGGAAGTGTTCGTGAAATCCGGTTGGTTGGCCATGAAGTGCGCTTCTCGTCTTAAGTCGTATCGGGGCTTCTGTTGGACTCTGGGTTGCTGTCAAAAAACATGTATGGAGTTTCCATTGTATGCATGCATGCATGTATGTTCTAGTATGACTAGTGTTTCCTTCTTCTGGTAATTTCATTTAGGTTGCCTGATAGCAGCTCAGGAGTTTCCTGTTTTATTCATTTGGATTGCTTGTTACATTATGAACAGGTTCTTGTTCAGGGCCCTTGAAAAGGGTGCCGCTGAGTGCTTTTCAGGGCAGGTGTCGTGGTTGACAATGTGAGGATTCACTCGTTTTACCAGACATCAAGGACTCCTTCAATGAAGAGCACGCAGAAGCAATTTTGGCCAAGAAGAAGTTCAGACAAGCGCCGAATTTATACGCATTAGACTCGTTTGTGGTGACCCCGATGTCAGAGCCTGGATGGTGTGCAACTTGCAAGCAGGACTCGAAGCAAACCATACCTTGGGCAAACTTGAATCTTGGCGAGAACAGGATTTAGAAATCTTGCTCCTGTGTGCCCACTGTCAGCTTGAAAACCCTCACCATTCTTTAGAAAAGCGACTTGCCTGTGTGTCGCGATTTGACTTTAGATGTTATTCAGTTTCGGAAACAGATTGGAGGAAGTCTTCATTCTCTGAGCTGCTGAACCCTCATGGCCTCTTGGTGCATGTCTTCGTTTCACACTTCTGGGGCCACCTCTACAGCAACTGAGCTTTATGTGCAGCTTTGTTCAGCTTTAGAGGCCAATGTTTGGAGAGAAATATCACGGTGCAAGATTGATTACATGGAATCTAGATAGGTGTTAGCAAGTGAAGTCCGTGAGCAAAAGCGTTCCATTCTAGAGGCTGCGAGCTGAGGCAGCACTGTTATGGCGCTCAATCTGTGGGCCTTGAAGCATTTCAGCAACTATGCTCGGCATCCGTCTTTTGGATTTGTCTCTCGCGGTGCAGGTTGATTTTTTCTGAACCATTTAGCCCTAGCAAAGCAGCCTGAACATGTATAATATATACCCCTATGTGTTCATATGTGCTCACATAAGTTTCACGTCTCTAGTGCATGTGCTCCAATTTGACTGACTTCTTGGGAGTGTCGTTTTGCGCACCACTGTTGCACGATCCAGGCTTCCGGCCTGCCGCAGGATCAGTTGTGCGAAAACTGCACACATGACCACACGATGACTTGTTGTTACGACCGATTTGCCAAGACCTGTTTCCATGCCAGATGAGGTCTCTTTGCTCTGAACCAGCATGCTGTGGCCGAGGAGGTTGGAAGCAAGCCACGCCAAGGGCCTTTCAATGCAGCCCTGGCACAAGCAACAGGCGGTGCAGTGATGGTGCCTCGGCGCATTTCCAAACTGACGAGTCAAAACAAAGCTTGTTTCTTGCAAAGTCGAAGAAGCATTTGGCTTGCACATGGTTTTTTCTTTCTCATCTTTCTCACTATAGGGAGGAAAGTACATCACGTGAACTTCTGAGGGAAAGCAAATTTCATAGGTGCTCGATGAGAAGGTCAATCCGTTTAAGCGGATTTGGTGCCTCTTCGAAGTTTCGCGGCTCAGCGATTTAAAACGACCCTTAGAGTTGATTTGTGGCTTGGCCAGAATCTTCAAAGTTTTTTTTAATCCTGGATTTGTGCGCTAGTTCGGCTTCATTTCTGCTTCTGCAACGCGTGCATCGCCTGACACCTGAGGCGATTTGGGTTCTTTGTCGGATTCTGCGGGCTTGGTTCGGGGGTCACAGTCAGAACAAGCTGAGATGCGGCAAGCCACGTGCATGGCCTTATGGAACATGTCTGCCAGCAGCCTGGTTTGTAACTGTCCTGTTGCAGTATTTCAGTTTGATCAAGCTATATCAGTTTTCAATGACATCAAATTGATTTCGCCTTATCAGTCTTTATCAAGGGTGGGTTTGTTGAAAGTGAAACTCCTGAAGGCAAGGCGCAGAGCTCCAAGGAAGCCGATAAGTACCGAATCTGGGCCGATATCGCAAATGCAAAATGTTGTGGAGTTGATCAATGGACTTGGTGCAGAACGTTTCTTCAGGTACAAGGAAGAAAACGCGTTAGATATTGATCAGAATCTGAGCAGTTTCAACAAGCACATGCGTTCGTTGCTTTCCACGAGTCTCCTTGAAAACTTGCTGAGCAGTTCGGATTACAATGCAGCGGCCCAGTGCTGCCTTCACAGAGCACAGGTGACGGAAGAGCAGCTTAGCAAGCTCTGTGCGAGTTTTGAAGCCGAAAGTGCGAAAGAAGCATGGTTGAATCGCATGATGTACCTGAAAGCAGCTACTGAGACAGATGGAGTGCTTTTGCAGCTGCTGCTGGCGCATGGGGCGGATGCAAGGGCCCCACGCCAGAAAGATGGTGTGACAGCCTTGATGTGTGCAGCTCAAGGTGGCCACGAGCCCGTGGTGAAGCTGCTTCTGCAGAAAAGAGTTGATGCCTGCGCAGCAGCCAACGATGGACAGACCGCCTTGATGTTCGCAGCTGGTGCTGGACATGACTCTGTGATGAAACTTCTCCTCCAGCATGGTGTTGATGCTGCTGCAGAAGCCAATGGGGTGTGGACGGCCCTGATGTTGGCAGCGAGAGGTGGCCACGAGCCTGTGGTGAAGCTGCTTCTTCAGCAAGGAGTTGATGCCAGCGCAGCAGCCAATGATGGTTGGACGGCCTTGATGTTCGCAGCTCAGCGTGGCCATGAACCTGTGGTGAAGCTGTTGCTTCAGCATGGAGTTGACGCCAGCACAGCAGCCAACAATGGCATGACACCCTTGATATTCGCAGCCTCAGGTGGCCATGAGCCTATGGTGAAGCTGCTGCTTCAGCATGGAGTTAGTGAAAATGCAGCAGACAACAATTGCATGACAGCCTTGATGTTTGCAGCTCAACTTGGCCATGAGCTTGTTGTGAAGCTGCTGCTTCAGTATTCTGTTGATGCCAGCGCAGCAGCAGCTGATGGCTGGACAGGCCTGATGTTCGCCGCCGATGGCGGCCATGAGTCTGTGGTAAAGCGGCTACTTGATCACGGAGTTGATGTTTGTGCAGAAAGCGAAGATGGCGGGACAGCCTTGATGTTTGCAGCCAAAGGTGGCCATGAGCTTGTTGTGAAGCTGCTGCTTCAGCATGGAGCTGACGCCTGCGCAGCAGCCAACAATGGCATGACACCCCTGATATTCGCAGCCTCAGGTGGCCATGAGCCTGTGGTGAAGCTGCTGCTTCAGCATGGAGCTGACGCCTGCGCAGGAGCTAACAATGGCTTGACAGCCCTGATGTTTGCAGCTGAAGGTGGCCATGAGCCTCTGGTGAAGTTGCTGCTCCAACATGGAGTTAGTGAAAATGCAGCAGACAACAATTGCATGACAGCCTTGATGTTTGCAGCCAAAGGTGGCCATGAGCCTGTTGTGAAGCTGCTGCTTCAGCATGGAGCTGACGCTCGCGCAGCAGCTAAGAATGGCGTGACAGCCCTGGTGTGCGCAGCTGAAGGCGGCCATGAGTCTGTGGTCATGTTGCTGCAGCAGCGAGGGACAATGTAACAGCACTCAAAGGACCCCTCTACTGCCGTAGTCAGTTCTTGAAGGAAAGATATGCTAAGAGTTTGGCAACTACTGGTAAGGCGGTGTTGATAAATTAGGAATCAGCTCGTGCAGAGTTCTTAGAGATGGCAGCCGCTTCTAGGTGTCCTGGGTGCAGACTAGGCAGATGCGCCAGTAGAATGGCCTCAAATGCTGTATGTGCTAGGATCCAAGTTTGTTGAATTTATGCCACATTCCACACATGGTGCAAAGCTACAAGAAGCTGTCGGCTTCGAGAAGCCCAGTGATGCGGCATCGTCATACGCTCACTCGGCAAGTCAACTTGCTGGTCACTTGTGCGATGGCGGTATACGTGAAAGGCAAGGGGCTGCTGTCATGCTGGGTGGTACTGGGTTGCTGTTGAGGAACTTAAATTAAGTTACCATAATGGGTATATATAGTAAAAAAATAGGGTTTCTCCAATATAATAACTTAAATTAAGTTCCTTAACAGCAACCCAGGGTATGTCTCATTCTCTTGCATGTCTAGGCCTTGAGAAAGTTTGAAATTTGAAATTTAAGATTCAAGAACAATGATATGGCGAGTCGAAGGAGACGCTAGTTGCAGCATGATTGCAAACTTCTACAGATCTTGGCAGCCTGCTCGGCTAATGGCCGTGTAATGAGCTCCCGGCAGAGAACTCGGCCCAAACCCCAACATATACACTATAGTCCCTACATAACCCATCATAGTAGTTTCCATTTTTTCTATTATCCCAATATAACCCCAATATATACCCTACAAAGCGTATATAACCCCTATATAATCCCTACAGTTTCCATTTTCTTTTCCATTCCTTCAAACCCTGAACCTTAAACCCTATGCCCTATAATCCCTATGTCACGGCCTTTAATCCGCAGGAGCCCAGCGGCCCCTCGTGCGACGGCCAAGGTTCCTTGCACAGACTTTGGCATTCCCAAAATTAGGGTTACCTCTTAGGGGTCCCCATGATAAGGATTATAGTATTTTGGGGTCTATACTGGGGTCTGCTCGTGTGGAGAAACTACCACTTTGGGATTCCATGATGCTTCGCTAGCGCATTTTGCATGTGTTTTTGGTGTCCACCGCTCAGGGTTAGTTACGAGCGGAGGTTGTCTGTTGCAAGGCGCGCGATGCGGCTGACAACATTGGAATTCTAGAGAGGGGTTTGCCCATGGCCATTTGGCTAGGTGGTTCTGCTGCAGTTCTTGATAGCGCCCAGGAAGACGGACTATCACCGCTTCAGCATAATCCCTATATAATCCCTGCATATTACATTCCTTTTGTCCGGATTATAACCCCAATATATAACCTATAGCTGTTTGCAATATGCAGAGCTGGGTTTATGGTTTAGGGATTCAGCTGTGAAGCACATGGGTAGAGTATAGAGCTTTCCCAGCCATGACTGGGTTGCTGTTAAGGAACTTAATGTAAGTTATTATATTGGGGAAACCCTATTATTTATTATATATACCCATTATGGTAACTTAATTTAAGTTCCTTAACAGCAACCCAGATGATTTTCGAGGTTTCTTAGAGTATTACTCTCCGCGCCTACCCGAAGGTTGGGTTGACCTCAACTCAACACTGAAGGTTAGATGGGGGATTGTCAAAATTATGGTCCCTTTTTGGGTTCCTATTATA